TAAATTCGTCAAATTTAATTTATCAACGATAATACAAGAAATATGCATTTTATCGAAAGAAAAAGAAACTAACTCTCTTTCTTTAACTCTCTTTCTGTGGACTTCTCATTCCCTCGGTATAAAGCGTAAATATACATAATCCAATGGTCGTAAAACGACAGAATGACAAATTTTGACATCTTTTCGTAAAATCGAAGATTTGACAATCCATTTTTTCAACAATATTGCTATAACCAATTTATGTTCTAGATTTGCGTATTTCTGTCCGATACAATTTCTTAGTCCGGCGCTAAACGGTATATATGAATAAGGATGTCTATTTTGCGTTTCATTGGTCAAAAATCTGTCCGGATCAAATTTTCCTGGATTCGGCCAAATTTCGGGATCGTGATGCAAACCATGAACATGAATTGACAATTCTGTATTCTTCGGAATTGCGTATTTACCTGGAAAAATGAAAATAAGAAACAAAGGATTATATATTTATATATATATATATATATATATATATATATATATATATATATGTCGATATAATGTTTAACATATGTTATGTTAAAAGTATATATATAATATAAATATATATGTATATACATTTTAATTTTAAATGACGAATACGAATTTCTATACATATTTACTTACCTATCGTTATTTCCTCTGTTATTTGTCGTGAAAAGACAGGTATTACTGGATAGAGCCTTAAAGTTTCCTTGCACACTCTGCCCAAATATTTCAATTGAGAAATCGTATTCATCGTAATTGGACCGTCCAAATCGTCGAATACAACCTTCAGTTCCTCGTAAACCTTATCTTGAATTTCAGGGTCGGTTGCCAAACATAACAATGTCCAAAAAATCGCGGTAGCACTAGTATCATGACCCTAATCACGTTATTAATGTTATAATATCATTAAACAGCGGATTATAGATTCTGTGCCAAAATATTTTAATCTATTAATTTTAATGAATTGAAGAAATAAAAAATTCGATTTGCAAAGAATTGAGATTTTACTTCTTATGCCATCTAATATTTTATATTTTCTAATAAAATTTAATCATAGAAAAAACGTATAAATTCTTCACGATTACGTAAAAATGAAATTATTCCTCTTCGATCGAGTTTAAATCGATTCATCGAATTCCTTTTCGATTTTTTTTTTTTTTTTACTTACAGCGGAAATTATTGTAGCTACTTGTTCATTCATATCCTTTTCCGAAAACTGATTAGATTGATTTTCGTTTATATCTAATAAGATATCTATGAAGGATTTCCTTTTTTTTCTACCTGAAACATCAACATTTTCACAGTTGATCATACATGTGTGTCGAAGGATGAAAGTGAAAAAAAGGTAGCTATTTGATAAAAATAAATAATTAATTACCTAATTCGTCAAATTCGCTCTCGTCTTTGGATTTCTCTCGACGAGCCTCCTTTTTCTTCTTTATCACCTGTAATATAAAACAGGTAACGATACTATTTGAAAATATTGATTTGTCTGTAATTAATATTAATTAACGATATATATTCGAAAAGAAAAAGAATCAGTGTATATATTAATACTTGGATTAGCATTAAAAATAAAATACTTACATTTAATATAAATGCTTAATGAATATAAATAAGTGTAAAGGTGACGACTATATACATATATATATATATATATACATATATATATAAATACATATAAATATACATATATACATATAAAAATCTATATATATCCACTATCATCTCGATGAAATTTTAGTAGATGAAGAAGAAATTTATATACATACATACATATATTGATGTGAAATTAGAAAACAAGATATAACTATTGTTCTACCTCTCTATTAAAACGATGTAATTCCTTGATCGACGAATAAAATTCCTTCCCTTCGGCTGTCAATGCAAATATCGAATCTAGTTTAAACCAAGGACGTAAATAACGATACAATACAGCATTCGTCCCTCTGAAATACGTGGGGAAAATGGATAAACAGATAATTAAATTAAATCAATATATAAATAGAAAGAAATAAATAAGAAAATAAATAAATAAATAAATAAAATTTCGAAACAATCATTCTTTACGTTTAATGTAATGAGTTTTATATCATAACAATCTCATACTTGTGTACGTAATCGGGGTAGCCAGTAATTGTATTATCCTGCGCATGTATGTTAACGCCCATTGCGGTTTCTGATGAAATAGAATAAAAAAGAAAATAGATAAAGATAAAACAATCGATAAAATATAGGAGAGTTTGTTTTCACGAAAGAAAGGAAGCCGCTTTTGCAGAACCGTGTTATCCAGTTACGTACAATTTGGTCAGATTAAAAAAAGTCATTTTTTATGATCTCTTTTTCCTTTTCTTTCTTTGACATGTAATCAATTTTATTAATATATAAAAAAGATATTTTAGTAATATTATTGAAGGATAACAAAAAAAAATTGTATTTTGAAAAAGATCAATTTCTTTTTTAACTTATTATATGTATGCTGCCTTCTTGTGGAAAATCAACATTTTTTAAACGCACACATATGTGTGTGTGTCTTTAGAAAATTCTACAGCACTTTTTTCATCAGAGGTTTATCTCTGATGAATATCGGGTGTTATAAGACATTTGAGTGAACTTACCGCATATGACATCCAACGTATAATCAGCAATCAATTGATAAATATTGACTCCATTTTTTTCAATATTTTTCCCGATTTCTTTCTCTATACGATTGATTAAAATTTCGCTCTTTTCCAGCATTACTATCATGAAATTATTGAGCGTTGAAAAATGAAATGCCTGGTTAATCAATTTCCTGTCGTGGTGCCACTTAGAACCTGAAAACGATGAATAGTTATGTATTATTTGTCTATTTTATTATATACATATAGGAAAATATGTATTGCTCTTAATTGACAAAAAAAAAAGAAATATTTATATATATATATATATATATATATAAATATATATATGTATAATATACATATATATATGTATATATATGCGAATAGACTTACCAGTCGAGGTTATAAGACCATCCCCTATCCAAGGCTTAAAGCTATCGTAAGTAGTTGCTTTCGAAATATTCGTACTATTTCTGAGAATGACCTGCGCAAGAATGATAAAAAAAGGAAGATAATAAACAGAATAAAATATCATAACAATTCTTTTAGATCAATAATAATAATAATAACAATAATACATTATAATATCAATATGGATGTAAGTATTTATTTCTCAATCCTATGGCATCCATCGAGATATTCTAAAACATACTTTCATATAAATACGTACCTCTACATATTCAGGCTTGTAAATGTATACTACTGCTTCATATCCCTTCCATAATTTATAAATCCCTTCTTTATATCGAACTGTGTATTCACAGAAGGCTTTATGATATTCTAAAAAAAAAAAAAATTAAAAAAAATTTCGGTTCAATTACACTTGTGTTTCTTATACTTTTTTTTTCTTTCTACTACATAAAATTAATTACATTATTTAAACGATCGTCACAGTATGTGGAATCGACGAACGATGATTATATTTATTTACGTAATACCGAGTTACAAATATATGTATGTCTGTATATGTATATATATATATATATAAATTTTGTGTGTATATCTAAGTACATGTACTACGTACGTATATAGTATTATATATACAAAATCGATAAAAAAGAAAAGTTTACCTTCTTTTGATAATTTGCTGAAATTGATTACGGTACCGAGGAATGACGAATCGCCAGGTATTTTATTAATCGTCTTACGAAAAACATAAAATTTATACAACTTCGACAATAGATTAATAAATATAACTATTAATAGAGCAATTAGAATATTCGTCAATACCATTTTGTAATGTACTTTGACTTATATATTAAAAATAATAATCGCCTTGTGGTTTTGCGCTGTTTGAAAAAGAAAATAGAGCCCATATGTTTTTTTATAGTCAAAAAGCTCTTACTGTACAAACATTAAAATTTTATGGATGATTGTTAGTTCGGTAACGATAGCAGTTACTATTAATAATCTTAAATACGCTTAATTCGTATTTTCCTCCCTTACTCCTAACATCTTCGGTGATAACAAATATTCGGCGAGGTCACGTGATATCTATTACTATTCTGCTACCCTATATTTTAAGACAAAATTTCGAAATACTTTTATCTTTCTCCACTTTACTTTTTACTACACACTTCTGCAACGATGACGAATCTACAAACTGCATATAATTTTCTTATCATGCAAATATAAATATCGTTGATATAACATAATTTGTAAGAAAAAAATAAATAAATAAAAGAAAACAAAACTCTCTCTCTCTCTCTCTCTCTCTCTCTGTCTGTCTCTTTTGTCTATTTTTATTTCACCTATAATTAAAACATTCTTGAAATATAAATGTTCTATGACCGTTGCAACTACACATTAGAATAATGACAGTTCACCAGAAAGGAAGAAGTAAAAAAATTGCAAAGAAATACAAAAGAAAGAAAGGAAAGAGAAAGGAAAGAAATAAACGTTAAAACCAACTATAATTATTATAGCATTTCGGATAACTTGCATGAATGAAAGCATAGAAATAAATGAAGTTTCTTATCCGAACTATTTAACAAGAGACCATTAGGTTTCTGCAAGAAGAAGCCCGAATATACGTCATGGTTTTTACTCTTGCTTTGTCTGTTTTTCTTATAAAATATATATATATTGTAATATATATATTTGATATTATTTATTTTTAAAAAGGAAGATCACTATTACTCACCGATAAAGAATGTTATTATTCTGTAACAATTAACAACTTATACGATTCAATTATAAAGATATATTTAAAATAAAGAATCTCCCCTATCAAATTTAAATTCTTTTTCTATTTTATTTCATAAACCATTTTCAATACAGAATATTTGTAATTTGTAAAAACAGAAAGTGATTCGTTGAATTTAATTTATAAACCGTAATTCAAGAAATATGAATTTTATCGAAAGAAAAAGAAACTAACCCTATTTCTCTCGCTCTCTTTCTGTGGACTTCTCATTCCCTCGGTATAAAGCGTAAATATACATCACCAAATGGTCGTAAAACGACAGAATGATACATTCTGATATCCTTTCGTAAAATCGAAGATTTGACCATCCATTTTTTCAATAATATTGCTATAACCAATTTATGTTCTAGATTCGCGAATTTCTGCCCGATACAATTTCTTGGTCCGGCGCTAAACGGTATATATGAATAAGGATGTCTATTTTGCGTTTCATTGGTTAAAAATCTGTCCGGATCAAATTTTTCCGGATCCGGCCAAATTTCGGGATCGTGATGCAAACCATGAACATGAATTGTCAATTCTGTATTCTTCGGAATTACGTATTGACCTGACAAAATAAAAAAAGAAACAAATGATAATATACATATATTTATAAAAAGTTTTACGTATGTGATGTTACAAGTATATATATTGTAAATATATATGTATAAACATTTATCTTTTAAAGGACGATTACGACTTTCTATACATATTTACTTACCTATCGTTATTTCCTCTGTTATTTGTCGTGAAAAGAGAGGTACTACTGTATAGAGCCTTAAAGTTTCCTTGCACACTCTGTCCAAATATTTTAATTGGGAAATCGTATTCATCGTAATTGGACCGTCCAAATCATCGAATACAACCTTCAGTTCCTCGTAAACCTTATGTTGTATTTCAGGCTCGGTTGCCAAACATAACAATGTCCAAAAAATAGCGCTAGCACTAGTATCATGACCCTAATCACGTTATTAATGTTATAATTAGTTAAACAGCGGATTATAGATCCTGTGCCTAAATATTTTAATCTATTAATTTTAATGAATTGAAGAAATAGAAAATTCGATCTGCAAACAATTGGAATTTAAATTCTTATGCCATCTAATATTTTATATTTTCTAATAAAATTTGTTCATAGAAAAAACGTATAAATTCTTCACGATTACGTAAAAATGAAATTATTCCTCTTTGATGGAGTTTAAATCGGTTCATCTATTTCTTTTTCCGCTTTTTCTCTTTTTTTACTTACGGCAAACATTATTGTAGCTACTTGTTCAACCATATCCTCTTCCGAGAACTGATTAGAATGACTTTCGTTTATATCTAATAAGATATCTATGAAGGATTTCCTTTTTTTTCTACCTGAAACATCAACATTTTCGAAGTTGATCATACATGTGTGTCGAAGGATGAAAGTGAAAAAAAGGTAGCTATTTGATAAAAATAAATAATTAATTACCTAATTCGTCAAATTCGCTCTCGTCTTGGCATTTCTGTCGACGAGCCTCCTTTTTCTTCTTTATCACCTGTAATATAAAACAGGTAACGATACTATTTGAAATTATTGATTTGTCTGTAATTAATATTAATTAACGATATATATTCGAAAAGAAAAAGAATCAGTGTATATATTAATATTTGGATTAGCATTAAAAATAAAATACTTATATTTAATATAAATGCTTAATGAATATAAATATGTATAAAGGTGACGACTATATACATATATATATATATAAATACATATACATATATATATATATATATATATATATATAAATACATATAAATATACATATCTACATATAAAATATATATATACATATACACATATAAAAATCTATATAAATCCACTATTATCACGATAAAATTTTAGTAGATGAAGAAGAAATTTATATACACCCATACATATATTGATGTGAAATTAGAAAACAAGATATAACTATTGTTCTACCTCTCTATTAAAACGACGTAATTCCTTGATCGACGAATAAAATTCCTTCCCTTCGGCTGTCAATGCAAATATCGAATCTAGTTTAAACCAAGGACGTAAATAACGATACAATACAGCATTCGTCCCTCTGAAATACGTGGGGGAAATGGATAAAGAGATAATTAAATTAAATAAATATATAAATAGAAAGAAATAAATAAGACAATAAATAAATAAATAAATAAAATTTCGAAACAATCATTCTTTACGTTTAATGTAATGAGTTTTATATCATTACACTCTCATACTTGTGTACGTAATCGGGGTAGCCAGTAATTGTATTATCCTGCGCATGTATGTTAACACCCATTGCGGTTTCTGATAAAATAGAACAAAAAAGAAAATAGATAAAGATGAAACAGTCGATAAAAAATGGGACAGTTTGTTTTCACGAAAGAAATGAAGTTGCTTTTGCAGGAACGTGTTATCCAGTTACTCACAATTTGATCGGATTAAAAAAAGTCATTTTGTATGATCTCTTTTTCTTTTTCTTTATATAACATGTAATCAATTTTATTAATATATATAGAAAAGATATTTTAGTAATATTATTGAAGGATAACAAAAAAGAAGATTATTTTGAAAAAGATCAATTTCTTTTTAACTTATTATATGTATGCTGCCTTCTTGTAGAAAATCCACATTTGTTAATCGCACACATATATATGTGTGTGTGTGTCTTTAGAAAATTCTACAGCAATTTTTTCATCAGTGTTTCATCTTTTATGGATATTACGTGTTATAAGACATTTGAATGAATTTACCGCATATAACATCCAATGCAAAATCAATAAGCAATGGATAAATATTAACTGCATTTTTTCCAATATTTTGCCCCAATTCTTTCTCTATACGATCGATCAAAATTTCGCTCTTTTCCAGCATTACTAACATGTAATTATCGAGTATAGAAAAATGAAATGCTGGGGTAATCAATTTCCTGTCGTGGTGCCACTTGGAACCTGAAAACGATGAATAGTTATGTATTATTTGTCTATTTTATTATATACATATAGGAAAATATATATTGCTCTTAATTGACAAAAATAAAGAAATATTTATATATATATATATTTCTTATATATATATATATATATATATATATATATATATATATAAAGAAATATTTATATATATATATATTTCTTATATATATATATATATATATATATATATATATATATGTAAATATATATATGTATAATACACATATATATATGTATATATATGTGTAAAGAATTACCAGTCGAGGTTATAAGACCATCCCCTAACCAAGGCTTAAAGCTATCGTAAGTAGTTGGTTTGTTTATATTTGTACTTCTTCTGAGAATGACCTGCGCAAGAATGAAAAAAAAAGGAAGATAATATACAGAATAAATTATCATATCAATCCTTTTAGATCAATAATAATAATAATAGTAATAATACATTATAATATCAATATGGATGTAAGTGTTTATTTCTCAATCCTATGGCATCCATCGAGATATTCTAAAACATACTTTCATATAAATACGTACCTCTACATATTCAGGCTTGTAAATGTATACTACTGCTTCATATCCCTTCCATAATTTATAAATCCCTTCTTTATATCGAACTGTGTATTCACAGAAGACTTTATGATATTCTAAAAAAGAAAAATTAAAAAAAATTTCGGTACAATTACACTTTTGTTTCTTATACTTTTTTTTTTCTTTCTTCTACATAAAATTAATTACATTATTTAAACGATCGTCACAGTATGTGAAATCGTCGGCCGATGATTATATTTATTTACGTAATACCGAGTTACAAATATATGTATGACTGTATATGTATATATATATATAAATTTTATGTGTATATCTAAGTACATGTATTACGTAAGTATATAGTATTATATATACAAAATCGATAAAAAAGAAAAGTTTACCTTCTTTTGATAATTTGCTGAAATTGATTACGGTACCGAGGAATGACGAATCGCCAGGTATTTTATTAATCGTCTTACGAAAAACATAAAATTCATACAACTTCGACAAAACTTTAATAAATATAACTGTTGACAGAGCAATTAGAAAAATCGTCAATCCCATTTTATAATGTTATTTGACTTATATGTTGATGATACTAATCTTTTTGTGGTTTTGCGCCGTTTGAAAGAGAAAGTAGAGCTCATATGTTCTTTTATAGTCAAAAAGTTTTTATTGTACAAACATTAAAATTTTATGGACGATAGTTACTTCGGTTACGATAGCAGTTACTATTAATAATCTTAAATACGCTTAATTCGTATTTTCCTCCCTTACTCCTACTATATTCGGCTATAAAAAATATTCGGCGAGGTCACGTGATACCTATTACTATGTTACCCTATATTTTAAGACAAAATTTCGAAATATTTTTATTTTTTCTACTTTTGTTTTTACTACACAATTCAGCAACGAAAACGAATCTACAAGCTGCATATAATTTTCTTATCATGCAAATATAAATGTTTATCTATCTATCTCTTTCTCTCTGTCTCTTTTGTCAATTTTTATTTCTCCTATAATTAAAACGTACTGAAAATGTAAATGTTCTATGACCGTTGCAACTACATATTAGACTAACGACAGTTCACCAGAAAGGAAGAAGTAAAAGAAAGCAACGAAATTCAAAAGAAAGAAAAAAGAAGGGAAAGGAAATAAATAAACGTTAAAACCACCTATAATTATTATACCATTTCGGATAACTTGCACGAATGAAAGCATAGAAATAAATGAAGTTCCTTATCCGAACTATTTAACAAGAGACCATTAGGTTTCTGCAAGAAGAAGCCCGAATATTCGTCATGGTTTTTACTCTTGCTCTGTCTGTTTTTCTTATAAAATATATATATATTGTAGTATATATATTTGATATTATTTATTTTTAAAAAGGAAGATCACTATTACTCACCCATAAAGAATGTTATCATTCCGTAACAATTAACAACTTATACAACTCAATTATAAAGATATATATAAAATAAAGAATCTCACCTATCAAATGTAAGTTCTTTTTCAATTCTATTTCATAAACCATCTTCAATGCGGAAAATTCATAATTCGTAGAAACTGAAATTAATTCGTCAAATTTAATTTAACAACGATAATACAAGAAATATACATTTTATCGAAAGGAAAAGAAACTAACTCTCTCTCTCGCTCGCTTTCTGTGGACTTCTCATTCCCTCGGTATAAAGCGTAAATATACATCATCCAATGGTCGTAAAAGGATAGTATGATGCGATTTGATATCTTTTCGTAAAATAAAAAATTTGATCATGTTTTCAATAATATTGCTATAACCAATTTATGTTCTAGATTCGCGAATTTCTGCCCGATACAATTTCTTGGTCCGGCGCTAAACGGTATATATGAATAAGGATGTCTATTCTGCGTTCCATTGGTCAAAAACCTGTCCGGATCAAATTTTTCTGGATCCGGCCAAATTTCGGGATCGTGATGCAAACCATGAACATGAATTGTCAATATTGTATTTTTCGGAATTACATATTTGCGTGAAAAATACAAAATAGAAACAAATGATTATATGTAAGTACATATATATATATATATATATGTATGTATATATATATATATATATGTCGATAAAATGTTTAACGTATGTTATAATAAAAGTATATGTAATATAAATATATATGTATATACATTTTACTTTTAAATGACGATAACGACTTTCTATACATATTTACTTACCTATCGTTTTTTCCTCTGTTATTTGTCGTGAATAGACAGGTACTATTTCATAGAGCCTTAAAGTTTCCTTGCACATCCTGTCCAAATATTTCAATTGGGAAATCGTATTCATCGTAATTGGACCGTTTAAATCATCGAATACAACCTTCAGTTCCTCGTAAACCTTATGTTGTATTTCAGGCTCGGTTGCCAAACATAACAATGTCCAAAAAATAACGGTAGCACTAGTATCGTGACCCTAATCACGTTATTAATGTTATAATCAGATAAAGAGCGGATTATAGATAATGTGACTAGATATTTTTAAATGTTAATGTCAAAGAATAAAAATATTAAAAATTCGATTTGCAAAGAATTGAAGTTAAAATTCTTATGTCATCTAATATTTTATATTACCTAATAATGTTTGATCGTAGAAAAAATGTATAAATTCTTCATGATTAAGTATAAATGAAATTATTCCTCTTTGATGGAGTTTAAATCGGTTCATCTATTTCTTTTTCCACTTTTTCTCTATTTTTTTACTTACAGCAAACATTATTGTAGCTACTTGTTCATCCATATCCTCCTCCGACAACTGATTAGAATGATTTTCGTTTATATCTAATAAGATATCTACGAAGGCTTTTCTTTTTTTTCTACCTGAAAAATCAACATTTTTTAAGTTGATCATACACGTGTGTCGAAGGATGAAAGTGAAAAAAAGGTAGCTATTTGATAAAAATAAATAATTAATTACCTAATTCGTCAAATTCGCTCTCGTCTTGGCATTTCTGTCGACGAGCCTCCTTTTTCTTCTTTATCACCTGTAATATAAAACAGGTAACGATACTATTTGAAATTATTGATTTGTCCGTAATTAATATTAATTAACGATATATATTCGAAAAGAAAAAGAATCAGTGTATATATTAATATTTGGATTAGCATTAAAAATAAAATACTTATATTTAATATAAATGCTTAATGAATATAAATAAGTATAAAGGTGACGACTATATACATATATATATATATAAATACATATACATATATATATATATATATAAATACATATAAATATACATATATACATATAAAATATATATATACATATACACATATAAAAATCTATATAAATCCACTATTATCACGATAAAATTTTAGTAGATGAAGAAGAAATTTATATACACCCATACATATATTGATGTGAAATTAGAAAAAAAAGATATAACTATTGTACTACCTCTCTATTAAAACGACGTAATTCCTTGATCGACGAATAAAATTGCTTCCCTTCGGCTGTCAATGCAAATATCGAATCTAGTTTAAACCAAGGACGTAAATAACGATACAATACAGCATTCGTCCCTCTGAAATACGTGGGGGAAATGGATAAAGAGATAATTAAATTAAATAAATATATAAATAGAAAGAAATAAATAAGACAATAAATAAATAAATAAATAAAATTTCGAAACAATCATTCTTTACGTTTAATGTAATGAGTTTTATATCATTACACTCTCATACTTGTGTACGTAATCGGGGTAGCCAGTAATTGTATTATCCTGCGCATGTATGTTAACACCCATTGCGGTTTCTGATAAAATAGAATAAAAAAGAAAATAGATAAAGATGAAACAGTCGATAAAAAATGGGACAGTTTGTTTTCACGAAAGAAATGAAGTCGCTTTTGCTGAAACGTGTTATCCAGTTACGTACAATTTGATCAGATTAAAAAAAGTCATTTTTTATGATCTCTTTTTCTTTTTCTTTCTATAACATGTAATCAATTTTATTAATATATAAAATAGATATCTTAGTAATATTATTGAAGGATAACAAAGAAGAATATTATTTTGAAAAAGATCAATTTCTTTTTTAACTTATTACATGTATGCTGCTTTCTTGTGGAAAATCAACACTTGTTAATCGCACACATATATATGTATGTGTGTGTCTTTAGAAAATTCTACAGCAATTTTTTCATCAGTATTTCATCTTTGATGGATATTAAGTGTTATAAGACATTTGAATGAATTTACCGCATATAACATCCAACGCAAAATCAATAAGCAATGGATAAATATTAACTGCATTTTTTCAAATATTTTGCCCCAATTCTTTTTGTATACGATCGATCAAAATTTCGCTCTTTTCCAGCATTACTGACATGTAATTGACGAGTATAGAAAAATGAAATGCTGGGTTAATCAATTTCCTGTCGTGGTGCCACTTGGAACCTGAAAACGATGAATTATTATGTATTATTTGTTTATTTTATTATATACGTATAGGAAAATATATATTGCGCTTCATTGACAAAAAAAAGGAATATATATGTATACATATGTTTATTATACATGTATATATGTATTTATGTGTATATAGACTTACCAGTTGATGTTATAAGACCATCTCCTATCCAATGCTTAAAGCATTCGTAAGTAGTTGCTTTGGTTATATTCGTAGTACCTCTGAGAATGACCTGCGCTTGAATGAAAGAAAAAAGGAAGAAAATAAGCAGAATGAAATATCCTATCACATCTTCACAAATTTTATGTGTATAACTAAGTACATGTATTACGTACGTATATAGTATTATATATACAAAATCGATAAAAAAGAAAAGTTTACTTTCTTTTGATAATTTGCTGAAATTGATTGCGCTACCGAGGAATGACGAATCACCAGGTATCTTATTAATCGTCTTACGAAAAACATAAAATTTATACAACTTCGACAAAAGATTAATAAGTATAACTCTTAATAGAGCAATTAGAATATTCGTCAAAACCATTTTGTAATGTATTTGACTTATATATTAAAAATAATAATCGCCTTGTGGTTTTGCGCTGTTTGAAAGAGAAAATAGAGCCCATATGTTTTTTTATAGTCAAAAAGCTCTTACTGTACAAACATTAAAATTTTATGAACGATTGTTAGTTCGGTTACGATAGCAGTTACTATTAATAATCTTAAATATGCTTAATTCGTATTTTCCACCCTTACTCCTACCATATTCGGTGATAACAAATAATCAGCGAGGTCACGTTATACCAATTACTATTATATTATCCTATATTTTAAGACAAAATTTCGAAATATTTTTATCTTTTCCTACTTTTGTTTTTACTACACAATCCAGCAACGATGACGAATCTACAAACTGCATATAATTTTCTTATCGTGCAAATATAAATATCGTTGATATAACATAATTTGTAAGAAAAAATAAATAAATAAAAGAAAACAAAACTCTCTCTCTCTCTGTATGTCTCTTTTGTCTATTTTTATTTCACCTATAATTAAAACATACTTGAAATATAAATGTTCTATGACCGTTGCAACTACACATTAGAATAACGACAGTTCAGCAGAAAGGAAGAAGTAAAAAAAAAGCAACGAAATACAAAAGTAGGAAAGGAAAGGGAAAGGAAAGAAATAAACGTTAATAAAACCAACTATCATTATTATAGCATTTCGGATAACTTGCACGAATGAAAGCATAGAAATAAATGAAGTTCCTTATCCGAACTATTTAACAAAAGACCATTAGGTTTCTGCAAGAAGAAGCCCGAATATACGTCATGGTTTTTACTCTTGTTCTGTCTGTTTTTCTTATAAAATACATATATATTGTAATATATATATTTGAAATGATTTATTTTTAAAAAGGAAGATCACTATTACTCACCGATAATGTTATTATTCTGTAACAATTAACAACTTATACGATTCAATTATAAAGATATATTTAAAATAAAGAATCTCCCCTATCAAATTTAAATTCTTTTTCTATTTTATTTCATAAACCATTTTCAATACAGAATATTTGTAATTTGTAAAAACAGAAAGTGATTCGTTGAATTTAATTTATAAACCGTAATTCAAGAAATATGAATTTTATCGAAAGAAAAAGAAACTAACCCTATTTCTCTCGCTCTCTTTCTGTGGACTTCTCATTCCCTCGGTATAAAGCGTAAATATACATCATCAAATGGTCTTAAAACGACAGAATGACATATTTTGATATCCTTTCGTAAAATCGAAGATTTGACCATCCATTTTTTCAACAATATAGCTATAACCAATTTATGTTCTAGATTCGCGAATTTCTGCCCGATACAATTTCTTGGTCCGGCGCTAAACGGTATATATGAATAAGGATGTCTATTTTGCGTTTCATACGTTAAAAACCTGTCCGGACCAAATTTTTCTGGATTCGGCCAAATTTCGGGATCGTGATGCAAACCATGAACATGAATTGACAAATCTGTATTTTTCGGAATTGCGTATTTACCTGGAAAAATGAAAATAAGAAACAAATGATTATATATATATGTTGATAAAATGTTTAATATATGTTATGTTAAAAGTATACATAATATAAATATATATGTATATACATTTTATTTTCAAATGACGAATACAAAATCCTATATATATTTACTTACCTTTCGTTATTTCCTCTGTTATTTGTCGTGAATAGACAGGTACTATTTCATAGAGCCTTAAAGTTTCTTTGCATACTCTGTCCAAATATTTCAGTTGGGAAATTGTATTCATCGAAATTGGACCGTCCATATCATCGAATGCAACCATCGATTCCTCGTAAACCTTATCTTGTATTTCAGGCTCGGTTGCCAAACATAACAATGTCCAAAAAATAGCGCTAGCACTAGTATCATGACCCTAATCACGTTATGAATGTTATAATTAGTTAAAGAGCGGATTATAGATAATGTGACTAGATATTTTTAAATGTTAATGTCAAAGAATAAAAATATTAAAAATTCGATTTGCAAAGAATTGAAGTTAAAATTCTTATGTCATCTAATATTTTATATTTCCTAATAATGTTTGATCGTAGAAAAAATGTATAAATTCTTCATGATTAAGTATAAATGAAATTATTCCTCTTTGATGGAGTTTAAATCGGTTCATCTATTTCTTTTTCCGCTATTTCTCTTTTTTTACTTACGGCAAACATTATTGTAGCTACTTGTTCAACCATATCCTCTTCCGAGAACTTATTAAAATTATTTTCTTTGATATCTAACAAGATATCTATGAAGGATTTCCTTTTTTTTTCAACCTGAAAAATCAACATTTTTAAAGTTGATCATACAAGTGTGTCGATGGATGAAATTTGAAAAAAGGTAGCTTTTTGATAAAAATAAATAATTAATTACCTAATTCGTCATACTCGCTCTTGTCTTGGCATTTCCTCCGACGAGCTTCTTTTTTCATCTTTATCACCTGTAATATAAAACATGTAAAGATACTATTTGACAATATTGATTTGTCTGTAATTAATATTAATTAACGATATATATTCGAAAAGAAAAAGAGTGAGTGTATATATTAATAATAGGATTAGCATTGAAAATAAAATATTTATATTTATAATAATTGCTTAATTAATATAAACAAGCCTAAATCTTCCGACTAAATCACATTTCGGTTGTATTTCGTAACCCTTTAGATTATTATAAATATTTATCAACTATTTAAGTTTTCGACAAATTATTACATTTAGAAATATTTTTACTAAATTTTCAATAATTTTCGTATCAATCGTTGTAATACCGACCGCTTATACCACGTATAAACATTTTATTATAAATACTGGACGTTTATTTTATTAATAATATGCATATTAGTATAGATAATATATATATATATATATATATATATATGTACCTATATACACATAAAAATCCATATTAATCCACTATTATCACGATGAAATATTAGTAAATAAAGAAGAAATTTATTTACATATATATATTTGTATATTGATGTGAAAATAGAAAACAAGATATAACTATTGTTCTACATCTCTATTAAAACGATGTATTTTCTTGATCGACGAATAAAATTGTTTCCCTTCAGCAGTCAATGCAAATATCGAATCGAGTTTTAACCAAGGACGAAAATTACGATAAAATATAGCATTCCCCGCTCTGAAATACGTGTGGAAAATGGATAAATAGATAAATAAATTAAGTAAACATATATATAGAAATAAATAAATAAATAAATAAATAAATAAATCAATAAATAAATAAAATTTCCAAACAATCATTCTTTACGTTTAAAATAATAAGTTTAATATCATAGCACTCTCATACTTGTGTACGTAATCGGGGTAGACAGTAATTTTATTATCCTGCGCATGTATGTTAACGCCCATTGCGGTTTCTGATAAAAAAGAATAAAAAAGAAAATTGATAAAGATGTACCAGTCGATGAAAAATAAGACAGTTTATTTTCACAACAAAAAAAAGGAAGGCGCTTTTGCAGAACCGTGTTAAACAGTCACGTACAATTTCGACAGTTTAAGAAAAGTATAATCTTATGATCTTTTATTTTTTTTCTGTTTATAACATGTAATCAATTTTATTAATATATAAAAAAGATATTTTAGTAATATTATTGAAGGATAACAAAAAAAGATATTATTTTGAAAAAGATAGATATGTATTTTAACTTTTTAAATGTATGCTGCCTTCTTGTAGAAAATCAACATTTGTTAATCGCACACATATATATGTGTGTGTGTGTCTTTAGAAAATTCTACAGCAATTTTTTCATCAGTGTTTCATCTTTGATGGATATTACGTGTTATAAGACATTTGAATGAATTTACCGCATATAACATCCAATGCAAAATCAATAAGCAATGGATAAATATTAACTGCATTTTTTCCAATATTTTGCCCCAATTCTTTCTCTATACGATCGATCAAAATTTCGCTCTTTTCCAGCATTACTAACATGTAATTATCGAGTATAGAAAAATGAAATGCTGGGTTAATCAATTTCCTGTCGTGGTGCCACTTGGAACCTGAAAACGATGAATTATTATGTATTATTTGTTTATTTTATTATATACGTATAGGAAAAGATGTATTGCGCTTCATTGACAAAAAAAAAAAATACATATGTATACATATGTTTATTGTACATATATATATTATACATGTATATATTATACATGTATATATGTATGTGTATGTGTATAGACTTACCAGTCGAGGTTATAAGACCATCCCCTAACCAAGGCTTAAAGCTATCGTAAGTAGTTGCTTTGGAAATATTCGTACTATTTCTGAGAATGACCTGCGCAAGAATGAAAAAAAAAGGAAGATAACAAACAGAATAAAAAATCATATCAGTTCTTTTAGATCAATAATAATAATAATAATAATAATAATAATAATACATTATAATATCAATATGGATGTAAGTTTATTTCTCAATCATACGGCATCCATCGATATTTTCTAGGGCATACTTTCATATATATACGTACCTCTACATACTCAGGCTTGTAAATATATACTAGTGCTTTATATCCCATCCATAATTTATAAATCCCTTCTTTATATCGAACTGTGTATTCACAGAAGACTTTATGATATTCTAAAAAAGAAAAATTAAAAAAAATTTCGGTTCAATTACACTTGTGTTTCTTATACTTTTTTTTTCTTTCTTCTACATAAAATTAATTACATTATTTAAACGATCGTCACAGTATGTGAAATCGATGAACGATGATTATATTTATTTACGTAATACCGAGTTACAAACATATGTATGACTGTATATGTATATATATATATATAAATTTTATATGTATATATAAGTACATGTACTACGTACGTATATAGTATTATACATAGAAAATCGATAAAAAAGAAAAGTTTACCTTCTTTTGATAATTTGCTGAAATTGATTACGCTACTGAGGAATGACGAATCACCAGGTATTTTATTAATCGTCTTACGAAAAACATAAAATTTATACAACTTCGACAATAGATTAATAAATATAACTATTAATAGAGCAATTAGAATATTCGTCAATACCATTTTGTAATGTACTTTGACTTATATATTAAAAATAATAATCGCCTTGTGGTTTTGCGCTGTTTGAAAAAGAAAATAGAGCCCATATGTTTTTTTATAGTCAAAAAGCTCTTACTGTACAAACATTAAAATTTTATGGATGATTGTTAGTTCGGTAACGATAGCAGTTACTATTAATAATCTTAAATACGCTAAATTCGAATTTTCCTCCCTTACTCCTAGCATATTCGGTGATAACAAATATTCGGCGAGGTCACGTGATATCTATTACTATTCTGCTACCCTATATTTTAAGACAAAATTTCGAAATACTTTTATCTTTCTCCAATTTACTTTTTACTATACACTTCTGCAACGATGACGATATCTACAAACTGCATATAATTTTCTTATCATGCAAATATAAATATCGTTGATATAACATAATTTGTAAGAAAAAAATAAATAAATAAAAGAAAACAAAACTCTCTCTCTCTCTCTCTCGCTCTCTCTCTCTCTCTCTCTCTCTCTCTCTCTCTCTCTCTCTCTCTCTCTCTCTCTGTCTGTCTCTTTTGTCTATTTCTATTTCACCTATAATTAAAACACACTTGAAATATAAATGTTCTATGTCCGTTGCAACTACACATTAGAATAAAGACAGTTCACCAGAAAGGAAGAAGTAAAAAAAATGCAACGAAATTCAAAAGTAGGAAAGGAAAGAGAAAGGAAAGAAATAAACGTTAAAACCATCTATAATTAGTATAGCATTTCGGATAACTTGCACGAATGAAGCATAGAAATAAATGAAGTTCCTTAGCCGATCTATTTAACAAGAGACCATTAGGTTTCTGCAAGAAGAAGCCCGGATATTTGTCATGGTTTTTACTCTTGCTCTGTCTGTTTTTCTTATAAAATATATATATATTGTAATATATATATTTGATATTATTTATTTTTAAAAAGGAAGATCACTATTACTCACCGATAAAGAATGCTATTATTCCGCAACAATTAACAACTTATACAACTCAATTATAAAGATATATTTAAAATAAAGAATACCCTCTATCAAATGTAAGTTCTTTTTCTATTCTATTTCATAAACCATTTTCAATGCGGAAAATTCGTAATTCGTAGAAACAGAAAGTGATTCGTTGAATTTAATTTATAAACGGTAATTCAAGAAATATGAATTTTATCGAAAGAAAAACAAACTAACTCTCTTTCTCTCGCTCTCTTTCTGTGGACTTCTCATACCCTCGGTATAAAGCGTAAATATACATCATCACATAGTCGTAAAACGACAGAATGACATATTTTGATATCCTTTTGTAAAATCGAAGATTTGACCATCCATTTTTTCAACAATATTGCTATAACCAATTTATGTTCTAGATTTGCGTATTTCTGTCCGATACAATTTCTTAGTCCGGCGCTAAACGGTATATATGAATAAGGATGTCTATTTTGCGTCTCATTGGTCAAAAACCTGTCCGGATCAAATTTTTCTGGATCCGGCCAAATTTTGGGATCGTGATGCAATCCATGAACATGAATTGACAATTCTGTATTCTTCGGTATTGCGTATTTACCTGGAAAAATGAAAATAAGAAACAAAGGATTATATATTTATATATATATACATATATATATATATATATATATATATATATATATAATATAAATATATATTTATATACATTTTACTTTTAAATGACGATTACGACTTTCTGTACATATTTACTTACCCATCGTTATTTCCTCTGTTATTTGTCGTGAAAAGACTGGTATTACTGGATAGAGCCTTAATGTTTCTTTGCACACTCTGTCTAAATATTTCAATTGGGAAATTGTATTCAGTGTAATTGGACCGTCCAAATCGTCGAATACAACCTTCAGTTCCTCGTAAACCTTATCTTGTATTTCAGGCTCGGTTGCCAAACATAACAATGTCCAAAAAATAGCGGTAGCACTAGAATCATGACCCTAATCACGTTATTAATGTTATAATTAGATAAAGAGCGGATTATAGATAATGTGACTAAATATTTTTAAATGTTAATGTCAAAGAATAAAAATATTAAAAATTCGATTTGCAAAGAATTGAAGTTAAAATTCTTATGTCATCTAATATTTTATATTTCCTAATAATGTTTGATCGTAGAAAAAATGTATAAATTCTTCATGATTAAGTATAAATGAAATTATTCCTCTTTGATGGAGTTTAAATCGGTTCATCTATTTCTTTTTCCGCTATTTCTCTTTTTTTACTTACGGCAAACATTATTGTAGCTACTTGTTCAACCATATCCTCTTCCGAGAACTGATTAGAATGACTTTCGTTTATATCTAATAAGATATCTATGAAGGATTTCCTTTTTTTTCTACCTGAAACATCAATATTTTTACAGTTCATCATACATGTGTGTCGAAGGATGAAAGTGAAAAAAAGGTAGTTATTTGATAAAAATAAATAATTAATTACCAAATTCGTCAAAATCGCTCTCGTCTTGGCATTTCTCTCGACGAGCCTCCTTTTTCTTCTTTATCACCTGTAATATAAAACAGGTAACGATACTATTTGAAAATATTGATTTGTCTGTAATTAATATTAATTAACGATATATATTCGAAAAGAAAAAGAATCAGTGTATATATTAATACTTGGATTAGCATTAAAAATAAAATACTTATATTTAATATAAATGCTTAACGAATATCAATAAGTGTAAAGGTGACGACTATATACATATATATATATATATATATATATATATATATATATATATAAATACATATAAATATACATATATACATATAAAATAAATATATATACATATATACATATAAAAATCTATATTAATCCACTATCATCACGATGAAATTTTAGTAGATGTAGAGGAAATTTATATACAGATATACATATGTTAATGTGAAATTAGAAAACAAGATATAACTATTGTTCTACCTCTCCATTAAAAGACGTAATTCCTTGATCGACGAATAAAATTGCTTCCCTTCGGCTGACAATGCAAATATCGAATCTAGTTTAAACCAAGGACGTAAATAACGATACAATACAGCATTCACCCCTCTGAAATAAGTGGGAAAAATGGATAAAGAGATAATTAAATTAAATAAATATATAAATAGAAAGAAATAAATAAGAAAATAAATAAATAAATAAATAAATAAATAAAATTTCTAAACAATCATTCTTTAAGTTAATGTAATGAGTTTTATATCATAATAATCTCATACTTTTGTACGTAATCGGGGTAGCCAGTAATTGTATTATCCTGCGCATGTATGTTAACGCCCATTGCGGTTTCTGATAAAATAGGATAAAAAAGAAAATAGATAAAGATGAAACAGTCGACAAAAAATGAGACATTTTGTTTTCACGAAAGAAATGAAGTCGCTTTTACAGAAACGTGTTATCCAGTTACGTACAATTTGTTCGGGTTAAAAAAAGTCATTTTTTATGATCTCTTTTTCTTTTTCTTTCTATAACATGTAATCAATTTTATTAATATATAAAATAGATATCTTAGTAATATTATTGAAGGATAACAAAAAAGAATATTATTTTGAAAAAGATCAATTTCGTTTTTAACTTATTATATGTATGCTGCTTTCTTGTGGAAAACCAACACTTGTTAATCGCACACATATATATGTATGTGTGTGTCTTTAGAAAATTCTACGGCAATTTTTTCATCAGTGTTTCATCTTTGATGGATATTAAGTGTTATAAGACATTTGAATGAATTTACCGCATATAACATCCAATGCAAAATCAATAAGCAATGGATAAATATTAACTGCATTTTTTCCAATATTTTGCCCCAATTCTTTCTCTATACGATCGATCAAAATTTCGCTCTTTTCCAGCATTACTAACATGTAATTATCGAGTATAGAAAAATGAAATGCTGGGTTAATCAATTTCCTGTCGTGGTGCCATTTAGAACCTGAAAACGATGAATTATTATGTATTATTTGTTTATTTTATTATATACGTATAGGGAAAGATGTATTGCGCTTCATTGACAAAAAAAAAGTAATACATATGTATTCATATGCTTATTGTACATGTATATATTATACATGTATATATGTAGGGGTATGTGTATAGACTTACCAGTCGAGGTTATAAGACCATCGCCTAACCAAGGCTTAAAGCTATCGTAAGTAGTTGCTTTGGAAATATTCGTACTATTTCTGAGAATGACCTGCGCAAGAATGAAAAAAAAAGGAAGATAACAAACAGAATAAAAAATCATATCAGTTCTTTTAGATCAATAATAATAATAATAGTAATAATACATTATAATATCAATATGGATGTAAGTGTTTATTTCTCAATCCTATGGCATCCATCGAGATATTCTAAAACATACTTTCATATAAATACGTACCTCTACATATTCAGGCTTGTAAATGTATACTACTGCTTCATATCCCTTCCATAATTTATAAATCCCTTCTTTATATCGAACTGTGTATTCACAGAAGACTTTATGATATTCTAAAAAAGAAAAATTAAAAAAAATTTCGGTAAAATTACACTTTTGTTTCTTATACTTTTTTTTTTCTTTCTTCTACATAAAATTAATTACATTATTTAAACGATCGTCACAGTATGTGAAATCGACGACCGATGATTATATTTATTTACGTAATACCGAGTTACAAATATATGTATGACTGTATATGTATATATATATATAAATTTTATGTGTATATCTAAGTACATGTACTACGTACGTATATAGTATTATATATACAAAATCGATAAAAAAGAAAAGTTTACCTTCTTTTGATAATTTGCTGAAATTGATTACAGTACCGAGGAATGACGAATCGCCAGGTATTTTATTAATCGTCTTACGAAAAACATAAAATTCATACAACTTCGACAAAACTTTAATAAATATAACTGTTGACAGAGCAATTAGAAAAATAGTCAATCCCATTTCATTATGTTATTTGACTTATATGTTAAAAATACTAATCTTCTTGTGGTTTTGCGCCGTTTGAAAGAGAAAGTAGAACTCATATGTTCTTTTATAGTCAAAAAGTTTTTATTGTACAAACATTAAAATTTTATGGACTATAGTTACTTCGGTTACGATAGCAGTTACTATTAATAATCTTAAATACGCTTAATTCGTATTTTCCTCCCTTACTCCTACCATATTCGGCTATAAAAAATATTCGGTGAGGTCAGGTGATACCTATTACTATATTACCCTATATTTTAAGACAAAATTTCGAAATATTTTTATTTTTTTCTACTCTTGTTTTTACTACACAATTCAGCAACGATGACGAATCTACAAGCTGCATATAATTTTCTTATCATGCAAATATAAATGTCTATCTATCTATCTATCTCTCTCTCTCTCTCTCTCTCTCTCTTTTGTCAAATTTTATTTCACCTATAATTAAAACATACTTGAAATAAAAATGTTCTATGACCGCTGCAACTATACATTAGAATAACGACAGTTCACCAGAAAGGAAGAAGTAAAAAAAATGCAACGAAATTCAAAAGTAGGAAAGGAAAGGGAAAGGAAAGAAATAAACGTTAATAAAACCAACTATAATTATTATAGCATTTCGGATAACTTGCACGAATGAAAGCATAGAAATAAATGAAGTTCCTTATCTGAACTATTTAACAAAAGACCATTAGGTTTTTGCAAGAAGAAGCCCGAATATACGTCATGGTTTTTACTCTTGTTCTGTCTGTTTTTCTTATAGAATATATATATATTGTAATATATATATTTGATATTATTTATTTTTAAAAAGGAAGATCACTATTACTCACCGATAAAGAATGTTATTATTCCGCAACAATTAAAAACTTATACAACTCAATTATAAAGATATATTTAAAATAAAGAATACCCCCTATCAAATGTAAGTTCTTTTTCTATTCTATTTCATAAACCATTTTCAATGCGGAAAATTCGTAATTCGTAGAAACTGAAATTAATTTGATGAATTTAATTTATAAACGGTAATTCAAGATATATGAATTTTATCGAAAGAAAAAGAAACAAACTCTTTCTTTCGCTCTCTGTTTTTGGTCTTTTCATTTTCTCGGTATAAATTGTAAATATACATCATCCAATGGTCGGAAAACGACAGATTGAAACCCTTTGATATCCTTTCGTAGAAATGCAGATTCGACCATCCATTTTCTCAACAATATAGCTATAACCAATTTATGTTGTATATTCGCGAATTTCTGTCCAATACAATTTCTTATTCCGCCGCTAAACGGTAAATATGAGTAAGGATGTCTACATTGCGTTTCATCGGTCAAAAATCTGTCCGGATCAAATTTTTCCGGATTCGGCCAAATTTCGGGATTGTGATGCAAACCATGAACATGAATTGACAATGTTGTGTTCTTCGGAATTACGTATTTCCCTGAAAAAAAAAGAACAAATGATTATATATATATATATATATATATATATATATATATATATATATATATATATATATATATATTCATATATATATTATATATATACATATATATATATATTCATAAATATATGTCGATAAAATGTTTAACGTATCCTATACTAAAAGTATATTTAATATAAATATATATGAATATACATTTTATTTTTAAATAACGAAGACAAATTTCTATACATATTTACTTACCTATCGTTATTTCTTCTGTTATTTGTCGTGAAAATTCAGGTATTACTGGATAGAGCCTTAAAGTTTCCTTGCACACTCTGTCCAAATATTTCAATTGGGAAATTGTATTCATCGTAATTGGACCGTCCAAATCGTCGAATACAACCTTCAGTTCCTCGTAAACCTTATCTTGAATTTCAGGCTCGGTTGCCAAACATAACAATGTCCAAAAAATAGCGGTAGAACTAGCATCGTGACCCTAATCACGTTATGAATGTTATAATATCATTAAAGAGCGGATTATAGATTCTGTGCCTAAATATTTTAATATATCAATTTTAATGAATAAAAGAAATAAAAAATTCGATTTGCAAAGAATTGAAATTTAACTTCTTATGCAATCTAATATTTTTTTTTTTTTAATAATATATCTTCGTAGAAAAGACGTATAAGTTCTTCATGATTACGTAAAAATGAAATTATTCCTCTTCGATCGAGTTTAAATCGATTCATCGAATTCCTTTTCGATTTATTTTTTTTCACTTACAGCGAGCATTATTGTAGCTACATGTTCATTCATATCCTTTTCCGAAAACTGATTAGAATGATTTTCGTTTATATCTAATAAGATATCTATGAAGGATTTCCTTTTTTTTCTACCTGAAACATCAACATTTTTACAGTTGATCATACACGTGTGTCGAAGAATGAAAGTGGAAAAAAGGTAGCTATTTGATAAAAATAAATAATTAATTACCTAATTCGTCAAACTCGTTCTCGTCTTGGCATTTCTCCCGACGAACTTCTTTTTTCATCTTTATCACCTGTAATATAAAACATGTAAAGATACTATTTGACAATATTGATTTGACTGTAATTAATATTAATTAACGATGTATATTCGAAAAGAAAAAGAATCAGTGCATATATTAATACTTGGATTAGCATTAAAAATAAAATTCTTATATTTAATATATATGGTTAATGAATATAAATAAGTGTAAAGGTCACGACTAAATCACGTTTGCGTTGTATCTAGTAGCTCCTTAGATTATTATAAATATTTGTAACCTATTTAAGATATTGACAAAATATTACATTTAGAAATATTTTCACGAAATTATCAGTAACTTCCTTATCAATCGTTGTAATACCGTTCGCTTATATTACTTATTGACACTTTATTATAAATGCTGGACGTTTTTTTTTATTAATGATAATTATCATATTAGTATTGTAAATATATATATATATATATATATATATATATATATATATATATATAAATATACATATATACATATATACATATAGAAATCTATATTAATGCATTATCATTATGATGAAATATTGGTAGATGTAGAAGAAATTTATATACATACATACATATATTGATGTGAAAATAGAAAACAAGTTATAACTATTGTCTTACCTCTCTATTAAAACGGTGTAATTCCTTGATCGACGAATAAAATTGCTTCCCTTCGGCTGTCAGTGCAAATATCGAATCGAATTTTAACCAAGGACGTATATGACGATGCAATACAGCATTCGTCGCCCTGAAATACGTGGGGAAAAAAGGATAAATAGATAAATAAATTAAGTAAACATATATAGAGAAATAAATAAATAAATAAATAAATCAATAAATAAATAAAATTTCTAAACAATCATTCTTTACGTTTAACATAAATATTTTTATATCATAACACTCTCATACTTGTTTACGTAATCGGAGTAGCCAGTAATTGTATTATCCTGCGCATGTATGTTAACGCCCATTGCGGTTTCTGATAAAAAAGAATAAAAAAGAAAATAGATAAAGATAAAACAATCGATAAAAAATAGGAGAGTTTGTTTTCACGAAAGAAAGGAAGTCGCTTTTGCAGAACCGTGTTATCCAATTATTTACAATTTGATCGGATTAAAAAAAGTCATTTTTTATGATCTCTTTTTCTTTTTCTTTCTTTGACATGTAATCAATTTTATTAATATATAAAAAAGATATTTTAGTAATATTATTGAAGGATAACAAAAAAAAATTTTATTTTGAAAAAGATCAATTTCTTTTTTAACTTCTTAAGTGTATTTTGCCTTTTTGTGGAAAATCAACATTTTTTAAACGCACACATATGTATGTGTATGTGTCACGAGAACATTGTATAGCACTTTTTTCATCAGAGGTTTATCTCTGATGTATATTGCGTGTTATAGGACATTTGAGTGAACTTACCGCATATGACATCCAACGAATAATCAGCAATCAATGGATAAATATTGACTGTATTTTTTCCAATATTTTTCCCCATTTCTTTCTCTATACGATCGATCAAAATTTCGCTCTTTTCCAGCATTACTATCATGAAATCTTCGAGCATAGAAAAATGAAATGCCGGGATAATCAATTTCCTGTCGTGGTGCCACTTAGAACCTGAAAACGATGAATTCTTATGTATTATTTGTTTATTTTATTATATACGTATAGGAAAATATGAATTGCCCTTCATTGACAAGAAAAAAGAAATACATAAATATATATATATATATATATATATATATATATATGTAAAATATACATGTATATATGTATATATATGTGTATAGACTTACCAGACGAGGTTAGAAGTCCATTTCCTAACCAAGGCTTAAAAGTATTGTAAGTACTTGATTTCTTTAGATTCGTAATACTATTGAGGATGACCTGCGCACGAAGGAAGAAGGAAATGAAAAAAGGAAAAAAATAAACAGAATGAAATACCCTATCAATTCTTCAACATCGGTGATAAAAAGGATAATAATACATTTTTATATCAACATGGATATAAATGTTTATTTCTCGAACTTATGGCACTCATCGTGATTTTTTAGAACATACTTTCATATATCTATGTACCTCTACATATTCAGGCTTGTAAATGTATACTACTGCTTCATATCCCTTCCATAATTTATAAATCCCTTCTTTATACCGAACTGTGTATTGACAGAAGGCTTTATGATATCCTAAAAAATAAAAATGAAAAAAAATTTTGGTTCATTTCTATTTGAGACTATTTTTTTTTCTTTTCTTCCTTCTTCATAAAATTCAGTATATTATTTAAACGATCGTCACAGTGTCTGAACTCGTTGATCGATCATTATATTAATTTACGTAATACCGAGTTACATATTTATGTATAATTGTACATGTATATATATACATATAAATTGTATGTGTATATCTATGTACATGTATTACATAATTACATGTATTACATGTACATAATTTTACACATACAAAATCGATAAAAAAAATAAGTTTACCGTCTTTAGATAATCTGTTGAAATTGATTACGTTACTGAAGAAGGATGCATCACCAGGTATTTTATTAATCGTCTTACGAAAAACATAAAATTTATACAATTCCGACAAAACATCAATAAGTATAATAATTAACAGAGTAAATAGAATAATCTTCAATATCATTTTATAAACTTATTTGACTTATATGTTAAAGATACTAATCGTCCTGTGGTTTTGCGCCGATGGAAAGAGAAAGTAGAGCTCATATGTTCTTTTATAGTCAAAAAGTTCTTATTGTACAAACATTAAAATTTTATGGACGATTGTTAGTTCGATTACGATATCAGTTACTATTAATAATCTTAAATACGCTTAATTCGTATTTTCCTCCTTTACTCCTACTATATTCGGCTATAAAAAATATTCGGCGAGGTCACGTGATATCTATTACTATTATGTTACCCTATATTTTAAGACAATATTTCGAAATATTTATATCTTTTTCCACTTTGCTTTTTACTACACAATTCAGCAACGATGACGAATCTATAAATTGCATATAATTTTCTTATCATGCAAATATAAATATCGTTGATATAACACAATTTGTAAAAAAAAAATAAATAAAAAAAAAAAACTCTCTCTCTCTCTCTCTCTCCCTCTCTTTCTCTCTATCTATCTATCTATCTATCTCTCTCTCTTTGTCTCTTTTGTCAATTTTTATTTCTCCTACAATTAGAATATACTCAAAATGTAAATGTCCTATGACCGTTGCAACTACACATTAGAATAACGACAGTTCACCAGAAAGGAAGAAGTAAAAAAATAGCAACGAAATACAAAAGAAGGAAAGGAGAGGGAAAGGAAAGAAATAAACGTTAAAAAACCAACTATAATTATTATAGCATTTCGGATAACTTGCACGAATGAAAGCATAGAAATAAATGAAGTTTCTTATCCGAACGACTTAATAGGAGACATTTAGTTTTCTGGTAGTTAAAACCCGAATATTCGTCAAAGTTTTTAGTCTTGTTCAGTTTGTTCTTCTTATAAAATATACATAATTTATGTGTAAAGGAGTAAGCAACATGATGAGGTTCGAACCAAGCTAGAGCATTAAGAATCTTATTTCCTATAAAAACCATTTTTTCGATATCTAACTATCCGACTATTGTTGCACTACGTATTCTTCAAAATCTCTCCTCTTATTATAGGTAGATCTTATTGACTTCAATTGTGTGCTACAAATGTTATCCTGCTTCGCGCTTCTCATGGATAGTTACTGAACTCTTATCCTTTTCTCCGTTACATTGACGCACCGAATCGATCCATTCATCCTTACTTTAACAGTAATAATAATAATAATAATAAAAATGGATATTATTATTTGCAGAATTCAGGATAATAACAACAATCTACATAATGTGCATTACAGATATGGATTCTGTACAGTGCGCGAACAATTTTTTAAGAATTAAATCGTTTATATCAAGAAAGATTACTTCCGTCGGATATTGACATGATTTAATCGAAATTTTATTAATGAGAGAAACAAGGAAAGTGTCTTTTATTCGTTAATTCTTGACCTGGAGTTGCGAAATGGAGGAACAGGTTGAAGTAGGAGAATGGCCAGGAAGGCTATTTTGGTTGATTGTGTAAATAATTTGTTGGATGATGTTATTAATAGCGAAAAAAGAAGCAAAAGTAAAAAATGAACAGATAAAATATATAGATAATAAAATAAATAGATAAATAAAACAATTAAAGCAGTGATGTTATTGAAATTGCATTGTCCATATTAAAAGCAATTACCGAATTTTAAATCATTTTAAAACTAATGATAATAAGTAAGCAATAATAGTATTAGTACAATTGATCGACTATCTGTATTAGATATCGTATGTAAATATATTCTACTATTTTTACAAATGAAATTTGTAACATTTTGTTATAATAAACAGATAAAGTTACCATTATTTATTATTATAATATATATATATTTGATATGATTTATTTTTAAAAAAGAAGTTCACTATTACTTACTGATAAAGAATGTTGTTATTCCGTAACAATTAACAACTTATACAATTCAATTATAAAGATATATTTAAAATAAAGAATCTCACCTATCAAATGTAAGTTCTTTTTCTATTCTATTTCATAAACCATCTTCAATGCGGAGAATTCGTAATTCGTAGAAACTGAAATTAATTTGTTGAATTTAATTTATCAACGATAATACAAGAAATATGAATTTTATCGAAAAAAAAAGAAACTAACACTCTCTCTCTCTCGCTCTCTTTGTGTTCTTCTCATTTCCTTGGTATAAAACGTAAATATACGTCATTCAATGGTCGTAAAACGACAGTATGATACATTCTGATATCCTTTCGTAAAATCGAAGATTTGACCATCCATTTTCTCAACAATATTGCTATAATCAATTTATGTTCTAGATTCGCGAATTTCTGCCCGATACAATTTCTTGGTCCGGCGCTAAACGGTATATATGAATAAGGATGTCTATTTTGCGTTTCATACGTTAAAAACCTGTCCGGATCAAATTTTTCTGGATCCGGCCAAATTTCGGGATCGTGATGCAAACCATGAACATGAATTGTCAATTCTGTATTCTTCGGAATTACGTATTGACCTGAAAAAATCAAAAAAAGAAACAAATGATAATATACATATATATATAAAAAGTTTAACGTATGTTATGTTAAAAGTATATATATTATAAATATATATGTATAAACATTTATCTTTTAAATGATGAATACGAATTTCTATATATATTTACTTACCTATCGTTATTTCCTCAGTTATTTGTCGTGAAAATTCAGGAACTACTGCATAGAGTCTTAAAGATTCCTTGCACACTCTATCCAAATATTTCAATTGAGAAATTATATTTATCGTAATTGGACCGTCCAAATCGTCGAATACATCCTTCAGTTCTTCGTAAACCTTATCTTGAATTTCAGGCTCGGTTGCCAAACATAACAATGTCCAAAAAATAGCGCTAGCACTAGTATCGTGACCCTAATTACGTTATTAATGTTATAATATCATTAAGGAGCGGATTATCGATCCTGTGTCTAAATATTTGAATGTATTAATTTAAAGGAATTAAAGAATTAAAAAATTCGATTTGCAAAGAATTGGAATTTAAATTCTTATGCCATCTAATATTTTATATTTTCTAATAATATTTGTTCGTAGAAAAAATGTATAAATTCTTCATGATTAAGTATAAATGAAATTATTCCTCTTTGATGGAGTTTAAATCGGTTCATCTATTTCTTTTTCCGCTTTTTCTCTATTTTTTTACTTACAGCAAACATTATTGTAGCTACTTGTTCATCCATATCCTCCTCCGACAACTGATTAGAATGATTTTCGTTTATATCTAATAAGATATCTACGAAGGCTTTTCTTTTTTTTCTACCTGAAAAATCAACATTTTTACAGTTGATCATACATGTGTGTCGATGGATGAAAGTGGAAAAAAGGTAGCTATTTGATAAAAATAAATAATTAATTACCTAATTCGTCAAATTCGCTCTCGTCTTGGCATTTCTCTCGACGAGCCTCCTTTTTCTTCTTTATCACCTGTAATATAAAACAGATAACGATAATATTGGAAAATATTGATTTGGCTGTATTTAATATGAATTAACGATATATATTCAAAAAGAAAAAAAATGACAGTTTATGTTAATTCTTGCAATTGGCATTGAAAATGAAATAATTATATTTAATATAAATGCTTAATAAATATAAATAAGCGTAAAGGTCACGACTAAATCACATTTGGGTTGTATCTCGTAGCTACTCAGATTATTATAAATATTTGTAAACTATTTAAAATATTGACAAACTATTACATTTACAAATATGTTTACTATATTATCAATAATTCTCGTATCAATCGTTATAATACTGATCGTTCATATCTCATATTAACATTTTATTATAAACGCTGGACGTTTATTTTATTAATAATAACAACATTAGTATTGTTTTATATATATACATATATATATATATATATATATATATATATATATATACATATATTGATGTAAAAATAGAAAACAATATATAACTATTGTTCTACCTCTCTATTAAAACGATGTATTTCCTTGATCGACGAATAAAATTGTTTCCCTTCAGCAGTCAATGCAAATATCGAATTGAGTTTTAACCAAGGACGTAAATAACGATAGAATATAGAATTCGTCATTCTGAAATACGTGGGGAAAATGGATGAAAAGATAAATAAATTAAATAAATATATATATAGAAATTAAATAAATATATGTATAGAAATGAATAAGTAAATAAATCAATAAATAAATAAAATTTCCATACAATCATTTTTTATGTTTAACATAATTATTTTAATATCATAACACTATCATACTTGTGTATGTAACCGGAGTATCCAGTAAATGTATTATACTGCGCATGTATGTTAACGCCCATTGCGGTTTCTGATAAAAAAGAATAAAAAAGAAAATTGATAAAGATGAACTAGTCGATAAAAAATAAGACAGTTTATTTTCACGAAAAAAATGGAAGGCGCTTTTGCAGAACCGTGTTAAACATTTCGTCGGTTTAAAAAAAGTATAATTTTATGATCTCTTCTTCTTTTTCTGTTTATAACATGTAATCAATATTATTAATATATAAAAAAGATATTTTAGTAATATTATTGAAGGATAACAAAAAAAGATATTATTTTGAAAAAGATAGATATGTATTTTAACTTTTTAAATGTATGCTGCCTTCTTATGGAAAATCGCACACATATATATGTGTGTGTGTGTCTTTAGAAAATTCTACAGCCATTTTTTATCAGTGTTTCATCTTTGATGGATATTACGTGTTATAAGACATTTGAATGAATTTACCGCATATAACATCCAATGTAAAAGCAGCAATCAATGGATAAATATTAACTGCATTTTTTCCAATATTTTTCCCCAATTCTTTCTCTATACGATCGATCAAAATTTCGCTCTTTTCCAGCATTACTATCATGTAATTATCGAGTACAGAAAAATGAAATGTTGGGGTAATCAATTTCCTGTCGTGGTGCCACTTAGAACCTGAAAACGATGAATTATTATGTATTATTTGTTTATTTTATTATAAACGTATAGAAAAAGATGTATTACGCTTCATTGACAAAAAAAAAAGAAATATATATGTATACATATGTTTCTTATACCTGTATATATTATACATATATATATGTATATATATATATGTATAGACTTACCAGACGAAGTTATAAGACCATCCCCTAAACAAGGCTGTAAACTATCATAAGTAGTTGGTTTTTTTATATTTGCACTACTTCTGAGAATGACCTGCACACGAATAAAAAAAAAAGGAAGACAATTAACAGAATAAAATACCATATCAATTCTTTAACATCAATAATTTTAATAATAATACATTTTAATATCAATATGGATATAAATGTATATTCCTCAATCTTATGGCACCAATCCTGATTTTTTAGAACATACTTTCATATATCTACGTACCTCTGCATATTCAGGCTTGTAAATGTATACCATTGGTTTATATCCCATCCATAATTTATAAATCCCTTCTTTATATCGAACTGTGTATTGACAAAAGGCTTTATGATATTCTAAAAAAGAAAAATTAAAAAAAATTTCGTTTCAATTACACTTGTGTTTCCAATACTTTTTTTTTCTTTCTTATACATAAAATTAATTACATTATTTAAACGATTGCCACAGAATGTGAATTCGATGATCGATCATTATATTTATTTACGTAATACCGAGTTATAAATATATATATGACTGTATATGTATATATATACATATAAATTGTATGTGTATATCTATGTACATGTATTACGTATGTACATAATTTTACTCATACAAAATCGATAAAAAAAATAAGTTTACCGTCTTTAGATAATCTGTTGAAATTGATTACGTTACTGAAGTAGGATGCATCACCAGGTATTTTATTAATCGTCTTACAAAAAACATAAAATTTATACAACTTCGACAAAACATCAATAAGTATAATAATTAACAAAGTAAATAGAATAAACTTCAATATCATTTTATAATCTTATTTGACTTATATGTTAAAGATACTAATCTTCTCGCGGTTTTGCGCTGTTTGAAAGAGAAAATAGAACTCGAATGTTCTTTTATAGTCAAAAAGCTCTTACCGTGCAAACATTAAAATTTTATGGACAATTGTTAGTTCGGTTACGATAACAGTTACTATTAATAAACTTAAATACGCTTAATTCGCATTTTCCTCCCTTACTCCTACCATATTCGGCTATAAAAAATATTCGGCGAGGTCACGTTATACCAATTACTATTATGTTACCCTATATTTTAAGACAAAATTTCGATTTTTCGATATTTATATCTTTTTCCACTTTACTTTTTACTACACAATTCAGCAACGATGACGAATCTGTAAACTGCATATAATTTTCTTACCATGCAAATATAAATATCGTTGATATAACACAATTTGTAAAAAAAAAATAAATAAAAGAAAACAAAACTCTCTCTCTCTCTCTCTCACACTCCCTCTCTCTCTCTCTATCTATCTATCTATCTATCTATCTATCTATCTATCTATGTATCTATCTCTCTCTGTCTCTTTTGTTAATTTTTATTTCTCCTGTAATTAAAACATACTCAAAATGTAAATGTTCTATGACCGTTACAACTACATATTAGAATGTAGTTGCAACGACAGTTCACCAGAAAGGAAGAAGTAAAAAAATAGCAACGAAATACAAAAGAAGGAAAGGAGAGGGAAAGGAAAGAAATAAACGTTAAAAAACCAACTATAATTATTATAGCATTTCGGATAACTTGCACGAATGAAAGCATAGAAATAAATGAAGTTTCTTATCCGAACGACTTAATAGGAGACATTTAGTTTTCTGGTAGTTAAAACCCGAATATTCGTCAAAGTTTTTAGTCTTGTTCAGTTTGTTCTTCTTATAAAATATACATAATTTATGTGTAAAGGAGTAAGCAACATGATGAGGTTCGAACCAAGCTAGAGCATTAAGAATCTTATTTCCTATAAAAACCATTTTTTCGATATCTAACTATCCGACTATTGTTGCACTACGTATTCTTCAAAATCTCTCCTCTTATTATAGGTAGATCTTATTGACTTCAATTGTGTGCTACAAATGTTATCCTGCTTCGCGCTTCTCATGGATAGTTACTGAACTCTTATCCTTTTCTCCGTTACATTGACGCACCGAATCGATCCATTCATCCTGACTTTAACAGTAATAATAATAATAATAATAAAAATGGATATTATTATTTGCAGAATTCAGGATAATAACAACAATCTACATAATGAACATTAAAGATATGGATTCTGCACAATGCGCGAACAATTTTTTAAGAATTAAATCGTTTATATCGAGAAAGATTACATCCATTGTATATTGACATAATTTAATCAAATTTTATTAATGAGAGAAACAAGGAAAATGTCTTTTATTCGTTAATTCTTCACCCAGAGGTGCGAAAACGAGGAAAATGTTGATGTAGAAGAATAGCCTGGAAAGCTATTTTGGTTGACTGTGTAAATAATTTGTTGGATGATGTTATTAATAGCGAAAAAAGAAGCAAAAGTAAAAAATGAACATAAATAAATAAATAGATAAATAAAACAATTAAAGCAGTGATGTTATAGAAATTGCATTGTTCATATTAAAAGCAATTACCGAATTTTAAATCATTTCAAAACTAATGATGATAACTAAGCAATAGTCGTATTAGTGCAATCCATCGACCACCGATACTAGATATCGTATGTAAATATACTCTACTATTTTTACAAATGGAATTTGTAACATTTTGTTATAATAAACAGATAATATTACCATTATTTACTATTATATTATATATATATATATATATATTTGATATGATTTATTTTTAAAAAGAAGTTCACTATTACTTACTGATAAAGAATGTTATTATTCCGTAACAATTATTGGTTTATACAACTCAATTATAAAGATATATATAAAATAAAGAATCTCACCTATCAAATGTAAGTTCTTTTTCAATTCTATTTCATAAACCATCTTCAATGCGGAAAATTCGTAATTCGTAGAAACTGAAATCAATTCGTCAAATTTAATTTAACAACGATAATACAAGAAATATACATTTTATCGAAAGGAAAAGAAACTAACTCTCTCTCTCTCGCTCGCTTTCTGTGGACTTCTCATTCCCTCGGTATAAAGCGTAAATATACATCATTCAATGGTCGTAAAATGACAGTATGATACATTCTGATGTCCTTTCGTAAAATCGAAGATTTGACCATCCATTTTCTCAACAATATTGCTATAATCAATTTATGTTCTAGATTCGCGAATTTCTGCCCGATACAATTTCTTGGTCCGGCGCTAAACGGTATATATGAATAAGGATGTCTATTTTGCGTTTCATACGTTAAAAACCTGTCCGGATCAAATTTTTCTGGATCCGGCCAAATTTCGGGATCGTGATGCAAACCATGAACATGAATTGTCAATTCTGTATTCTTCGGAATTACGTATTGACCTGAAAAAATCAAAAAAAGAAACAAATGATAATATACATATATATATAAAAAGTTTAACTTATGTTATGTTAAAAGTATATATATTATAAATATATATGTGTAGACATTTATCTTTTAAATGATGAATACGAATTTCTATATACATTTACTCACCTATCGTTATTTCCTCAGTTATTTGTCGTGAAAATTCAGGAACTACTGCATAGAGTCTTAAAGATTCCTTGCACACTCTATCCAAATATTTCAATTGAGAAATTATATTTATCGTAATTGGACCGTCCAAATCGTCGAATACATCCTTCAGTTCTTCGTAAACCTTATCTTGAATTTCAGGCTCGGTTGCCAAACATAACAATGTCCAAAAAATAGCGCTAGCACTAGTATCGTGACCCTAATTACGTTATTAATGTTATAATATCATTAAAGAGCGGATTATCGATCCTGTGTCTAAATATTTGAATGTATTAATTTAAAGGAATTAAAGAATTAAAAAATTCGATTTGCAAAGAATTGGAATTTAAATTCTTATGCCATCTAATATTTTATATTTTCTAATAATATTTGTTCGTAGAAAAAACGTATAAATTCTTCACGATTACGTAAAAATGAAATTATTCCTCTTTGATGGAGTTTAAATCGGTTCATCTATTTCTTTTTCCGCTTTTTCTCTTTTTTTACTTACGGCAAACATTATTGTAGCTACTTGTTCATCCATATCCTTCTCCGACAACTGATTAGAATGATTTTCGTTTATATCTAATAAGATATCTACGAAGGCTTTTCTTTTTTTTCTACCTGAAAAATCAACATTTCTACAGTTGATCATACATGTGTGTCGATGGATGAAAGTGGAAAAAAGGTAGCTATTTGATAAAAATAAATAATTAATTACCTAATTCGTCAAATTCGCTCTCGTCTTGGCATTTCTCTCGACGAGCCTCCTTTTTCTTCTTTATCACCTGTAATATAAAACAGATAACGATAATATTGGAAAATATTGATTTGGCTGTATTTAATATGAATTAACGATATATATTCAAAAAGAAAAAAAATGACAGTTTATGTTAATTCTTGCAATTGGCATTGAAAATGAAATAATTATATTTAATATAAATGCTTAATAAATATAAATAAGCGTAAAGGTCACGACTAAATCACATTTGGGTTGTATCTCGTAGCTACTCAGATTATTATAAATATTTGTAAACTATTTAAAATATTGACAAACTATTACATTTACAAATATGTTTACTATATTATCAATAATTCTCGTATCAATCGTTATAATACTGATCGTTCATATCTCATATTAACATTTTATTATAAACGCTGGACGTTTATTTTATTAATAATAACAACATTAGTATTGTTTTATATATATACATATATATATATATATATATATATATATATATATATACATATATTGATGTAAAAATAGAAAACAATATATAACTATTGTTCTACCTCTCTATTAAAACGATGTATTTCCTTGATCGACGAATAAAATTGTTTCCCTTCAACAGTCAATGCAAATATCGAATCGAGTTTTAACCAAGGACGTAAATAACGATAGAATATAGAATTCGTCATTCTGAAATACGTGGGGAAAATAGATAAAAAGATAAATAAATTAAATAAATATATATATAGAAATTAAATAAATATATATATAGAAATAAATAAGTAAATAAATCAATAAATAAATAAAGTTTCCATACAATCATTCTTTATGTTTAACATAATCATTTTAATATCATAACACTATCATACTTGTGTATGTAACCGGGGTAGCCAGTAAATGTATTATCCTGCGCATGTATGTTAACACCCATTGCGGTTTCTGATAAAAAAGAATAAAAAAGAAAATTGATAAAGATGAACCAGTGGATAAATAATAAGACAGTTTATTTTCACGAAAGAAAGGAAACCGCTTTTGCAGAACCGTGTTAAACAGCCACGTACAATTTCGTCGTTTTAAGAAAAGTATAATTTTATGATCTCTTATTCTTTTTCTGTTTATAACATGTAATCAATATTATTAATATATAAAAAAGATATTTTAGTAATATTATTGAAGGATAACAAAAAAAGATATTATTTTGAAAAAGATAGATATATATTTTAACTTTTTAAATGTATGCTGCCTTCTTATGGAAAATCTACATTTTTTAATCGCACACATATATATGTGTGTGTGTGTCTTTAGAAAATTCTACAGCCATTTTTTATCAGTGTTTCATCTTTGATGGATATTACGTGTTATAAGACATTTGAATGAATTTACCGCATATAACATCCAATGTAAAAGCAGCAATCAATGGATAAATATTAACTGCATTTTTTCCAATATTTTTCCCCAATTCTTTCTCTATACGATCGATCAAAATTTCGCTCTTTTCCAGCATTACTGTCATGTAATTATCGAGTATAGAAAAATGAAATGTTGGGGTAATCAATTTCCTGTCGTGGTGCCACTTAGAACCTGAAAACGATGAATTATTATGTATTATTTGTTTATTTTATTATATACGTATAGGAAAAGATGTATTGCGCTTCATTGACAAAAAAAAAGAAATATATATGTATACATATGTATATTATACGTGTATATATTATACATATATATATGTGTATAGACTTACCAGTCGATGTTACAAGACCATTTCCTAAACAAGGCTTTAAGCTATCATAAGTAGTTGGTTTGTTTATATTTGTACTACTTCTGAGAATGACCTGCGCAAGAATAAAAAAAAAAAGGAAGACAATTAACAGAATAAAATATCATATCAATTCTTTAACATCAATAATAATAATAATAATAATAATACATTTTAATATCAATATGGATATAAATGTATATTCCTCAAACTTATGGCACCAATCCTGATTTTTTAGAATATACTTTCATATATCTACGTACCTCTGCATATTCAGGCTTGTAAATGTATACCATTGGTTTATATCCCATCCATAATTTATAAATCCCTTCTTTATATCGAACTGTGTATTGACAAAAGGCTTTATGATATTCTAAAAAAGAAAAATTAAAAAAAATTTCGTTTCAATTACACTTGTGTTTCCAATACTTTTTTTTTCTTTCTTTTACATAAAATTAATTACATTATTTAAACGATTGCCACAGAATGTGAACTCGATGATCGATCATTATATTTATTTACATAATACCGAATTACAAATATATGTATGACTGTATATTTATATATATACATATAAATTGTATGTGTATATCTATGTACATGTATTACGTATGTACATAATTTTACTCATATAAAATCGATAAAAAAAATAAGTTTACCGTCTTTAGGTAATCTGTTGAAATTGATTACGTTACTGAAGAAGGATGCATCACCAGGTATTTTATTAATCGTCTTACGAAAAACATAAAATTTATACAGTTTCGACAAAACATCAATAAGTATAATAATTAGCAGAGTAAATAGAATAAACTTCAATATCATTTTATAATCTTATTTGACTTATATGTTAAAGATACTAATCGTCTTGCGGTTTTGCGCTGTTTGAAAGAGAAAATAGAGCTTATATGTTCTTTTATAGTCAAAATGCTCTTACTGTACAAACAGTAAAATTTTATGAATGTTTGTTACTTCGGTTACATAAGCAGTTACTATTAATAATCCCAAATATACTTAATTCGTATTTTCCTCCCTTACTCCTACCATACTCGGCTATAAAAAATATTCGGCGAGGTCACGTTATACCAATTACTATTATATTACCCTATATTTTAAGACAAAATTTCGAAATATTTATATCTTTTTCCACTTTACTTTTTACTACACAATTCAGCAACGATGACGAATCTATAAATTGCATATAATTTTCTTATCATGCAAATATAAATATCGTTGATATAACACAATTTGTAAAAAAAAAATAAATAAAAGTAAACAAAACTCTCTCTCTCTCTCTCTCTCTCTCTCTCTCTATCTATCTATCTATCTATCTATCTATCTATCTATCTATCTCTCTCTGTCTCTTTTGTTAATTTTTATTTCTCCTGTAATTAAAACATACTCAAAATGTAAATGTTCTATGACCGTTACAACTACATATTAGAATGTAGTTGCAACGACAGTTCACCAGAAAGGAAGAAGTAAAAAAATAGCAACGAAATACAAAAGAAGGAAAGGAAAGGGAAAGGAAAGAAATAAACGTTAAAAAACCAACTATAATTATTATAGCATTTCGAATAACTTGCACGAATGAAAGCATAGAAATAAATGAAGTTTCTTATCCGAACGACTTAATAGGAGACATTTAGTTTTCTGGTAGTTAAAACCCGAATATTCGTCAAGGTTTTTAGTCTTGTTCAGTTTGTTCTTCTTATAAAATATATATAATTTATGTGTAAAGGTGTAAGCAACATGATGGGGTTCGAACCAAGCTGGAGCATTAAGAATTCTATTTCCTATGAAAACCATTTTTTCGATATCTAACTATCCGACTATTGATGTACTACGTATTCTTCAAAATCTCTCCTCTTATTATAGGTAGATCTTATTGACTTCAATTGTGTGCTACAAATGTTATCCTGCTTCGCGCTTCTCATGGATAGTTACTGAACTCTTATCCTTTTCTCCGTTACATTGACGCATCGAATCGATCCATTCATTCTGACTTTAACAGTAATAATAATAATAATAATAAAAATGGATATTATTATTTGCAGAATTCAGGATAATAACAACAGTCTACATAATGTGCATTACAGATATGGATTCTGTACAGTGCCCGAATAATTTTTTAAGAATTAAATCGTTTATATCAAGAAAGATTACTTCCGTCGGATATTGACATGATTTAATCAAAATTTTATTAATGAGAGAAACAAGGAAAGCGACCATTATTCGTTAATTCTCGACCTGGAGGTGCGAAATGGAGGAACAGGTTGAAGTAGGAGAATGACTTGGAAGGAGGGTAAATTTAGATTCACTGCAAATAATTCGTTGGACAATGTTATTAATGGTGAAAAAAGAAGAAAAAGAAGAAAATGAATATAAATAAGTATATAAATAAATAAATAGATAAATAAAACAATATAGGCAGTAATGTTATAGAAATTGCATGATCCGTATTAAAAGTAATTACCGTATTTAAAATCATTTCAAAACTAATGATAATAACTAAACAATAATAGTATTAGTACAATTCATCGACTATCTGTATTAGATATCGTATGTAAATATATTCTACTATTTTTACAAATGAAATTTGTAACATTTTGTTATAGTAAACAGATAAAGTTACCATTATTTACTATTATAATATATATATATTTGATATGATTTAATTTTAAAAAGGAAGATCACTATTACTCACTGATAAAGAATGTTATTATTCCGTAACAATTAACAACTTATACAATTCAATTATAAAGATATATTTAAAATAAAGAATCTCACCTATCAAATGTAAGTTCTTTTTCTATTTTATTTCATAAACCATCTTCAATGCGGAAAATTCGTAATTCGTAGAAACAGAAAGTGATTCGTTGAATTTAATTTATCAACGGTACTACAAAAAAAAGAATTTTATCGAAAGAAAAAGAAACTAACTCTGTCTCTCTCCCTCTCTCTCTCTCTCTTTCTCTCTCTCTCTCTCTCTCTCTCTCTCTCTCTCACCTTTTCTTTGAAGTCTTCTCATTTCCTCGGTATAAAACGTAAATATACATCTTCCAATGGTCGTAAAACAACAGAATGATACGTTTTGATATCTTTTCGTAGAATCGCAGATTTGACCATCCATTTTCTCAACAATATAGCTATAACCAATTTACTTTCTAGATTCGCGAATTTCTGTCCAATACAATTTCTTAGTCCGCTGCTAAACGGTAAATATGAATAAGGATGTCTATTTTTCGTTTCATTGGTCAAAAACCTGTCCGGATCAAATTTTTCTGGATCTGGCCAATTTTCGGGATCGTGATGCAAACCATGAACATGAATTGACAATTCTGTATTCTTCGGAATTGTGTATTTACCTGGAAAAATGAAAATAAGAAACAAAGGATTATATATTTATATATATATATATATATATATATATATATATATATATATATATATGTCGATATAATGTTCAATATATGTTATGTTAAAAGTATATATAATATAAATATATATGTATATACATTTTTTTTTAAATGACGAATACAAAATTCTATGTATATTTACGTACCTATCGTTATTTCATCTGTTATTTGTCGTGAATATTTAGGTATTACTGGATACAGCCTTAAAGCTTCCTTGCACACTCTGTCTAAATATTTCAATTGGGAAATTGTATTCATGCTAATTGGACCGTCCAAATCGTTGAATACAACCTTCAGTTCCTCGTAAACCTTATCTTGAATTTCAGGCTCAGTTGCCAAACATAACAATGTCCAAAAAATAGCGGTAGCACTAGTATCGTGACCCTAATCACGTTATTAATGTTACAATTAGTTAAAGAGCGGATTATAGATAATGTGACTAAATATTTTTAAATGTTAATGTCAAAGAATAAAAGAATTAAAAATTCGATTTGCAAAGAATTGAAGTTAAAATTCTTATGTCATCTAATATTTCATATTTTTTAATATTTGTTAGTAGAAAAAATGTGTAAATTCTTCATGATTATGTATAAATGAAATTATTCCTCTTTGATGGAGTTTAAATCGGTTCATCTATTTCTTTTTCCGCTTTTTCTCTTTTTTTTTTACTTACAGCAAACATTATTGTAGCTACTTGTTCAACCATATCCTCTTCCGAGAACTGATTAGAATTATTTTCTTTGATATCTAACAAGATATCTATGAAGGATTTCCTTTTCTTTCTACCTGAAAAATCAACATTTTTTAAGTTGATCATACACGTGTGTCGAAGGATGAAAGTGGAAAAAAGATAGCTATTTGATAAAAATAAATAATTAATTACCTAATTCGTCAAATTCGCTCTCGTCTTGGCATTTCTCTCGACGAGCCTCCTTTTTCTTCTTTATCACCTGTAATATAAAACAGATAACGATAATATTGGAAAATATTGATTTGGCTGTATTCAATATGAATTAACGATATATATTCAAAAAGAAAAAAAATGACAGTTTATGTTAATTCTTGCAATTGGCATTGAAAATGAAATAATTATATTTAATATAAATGCTTAATAAATATAAATAAGCGTAAAGGTCACGACTAAATCACATTTGGGTTGTATCTCGTAGCTACTCAGATTATTATAAATATTTGTAAACTATTTAAGATATTGACAAACTATTACATTTACAAATATTTTTACTATATTATCAATAATTTTCGTATCAATCGTTGTAATACTGATCACTTATATCACGTATTGATATTTTATTATAAATGCTGGACGTTTATTTTATTAATAGTAATTATCATATTAGTATTGTGAGAATATATATATATATATATATATATATATATATATATATATATATATAAATACATATAAAAATCTATATTAATGCACTATCTTCACGATGAAATTTTGGTAGATGAAGAAGAAATTCATATATATATACATATATATATTGATGTGAAAATAGAAAACGAGATATAACTATTGTTCTACCTCTCTATTAAAACGATGTATTTCCTTGATCGACGAATAAAATTCTTTCCCTTCGGCTGTCAATGCAAATATCGAATCGAGTATTAACCAAGGACGCAAATTACGATATAATATACCATTCCCCGCTCTGAAATACGTATGGAAAATGGATAAATAGATAAATAAATTAAATAAACATATATATAGAAAGAAATAAATAAGTAAATAAATCAATAAATAAATAAAATTTCCAAACAATCATTCTTTACGTTTAACATAATGAGTTTTATATTAATCATACTTATGTACGTAATCGGGGTAACTAGTAATAGTATTATCCTGCGCATGTATGTTTACGCCCATTGCGGTTTCTGATAAAAAAGAATAAAAAAGAAAATAGATAAAGATAAATAATCGATAAAAAATAGAAGAGTTTGTTTTCACGAAAGAAAGGAAGCCGCTTTTGCAGAACCGTGTTAATCAGTCACGTACAAATTGATCGGTTTAAATAGTAGTCAATTTTTATGATATCTTTTTCTTTTTCTTTCGATAACATTTAATCAATTTTATTCATATATAAAAAAGATATCTAAGTGATATTATTGAAGGATAACAAAAAAAAAATATTATATTGGAAAAGATCGATTTCTGTTTTAACTCTTTAAATATATGCTGCCTTCTTATGGAAAATCAACATATTTTACAACATATGTATGTGTGTGTGTCACGAGAAAATTGTATGTTTTTTCATCAGAGGTTTATCTCTGATGGATATTGCGTGTTAAAAAACATTTGAGTGAACTTACCGCATATAACATCCAACGTAAAAGCAGCAATCAATGGATAAATATTAACTGCATTTTTTCCAATATTTTTCCCCAATTCTTTCTCTATACGATCGATCAAAATTTCGCTCTTTTCCAGCATTACTGACATGTAATTATCGAGTATAGAAAAATGAAAT